CCTTTTCCTGTCTCCCTATTTTTCTTTCACCAGTTACTGCAGCTTTCTCCCAAAGCCAATGCTTTCCACACGACCAAATACTTCAGTCAGAGGAGGATTTTCCTCATCTCATTTCAACATCTGTTTAGTTTTATCCATACTGTATTTTTTCCAGATTTGGATTTTTGAGGTTTTACTGCAAGGAGAAGAGTGCCACAGTGCAATTACTGGGCCATGTCCCCACATCTTGATGAGAAAGCACTGTACAGGTATCATGATCATTACTGGTAATGACACTACAGTCAGTTCCTCTGTGTGAGGCAGACAGCATAAAAGAAATTGAAGACAAATTCTGTTTATCTCCAAGAGTAGTGTTGCCCCCAGAAATAAACTACGTGGCTAGTGAAGTTGCTGCATGCCATGGAGCTAACATTTGGAACTACTTGTTCTTAGTTATTAACCGTAACAGAAAGATGAGGCACCATATGGTGTGACAACATGATAGAAATCATTAATAACAAATTATGTGGAAAAAAATCCCAAAATTGTTAGAGCTTTTAAATAACAGGACCTTTCATGCCACTTTACTTACACTCTCTCTAACATTTCTTTTTCCCAAGGATCTGCACTCCCCTCCAGACTTCACCTGTGTTGCTTAATGGCCTTTTTATATGATAAGTTTCTTTTCCAAGTCTCATACAATTAAGTAGACTTCATTATATCCTGCGGAAAAGAAGGTGCCAGGTGCTCCTCCTCACAGATCCACCTTTCTTTTCTGCCTTTTCCCTGTCAGCAAAAAGGCATGCTGTTGCTCTCTCTGTTGGAAATACAAATAGCAAAACTACTGTGGCTGCAGAATCCTGACAGCCTCCCAGCTGCCCAGAGATTACAGATAGATTTGCTAGGCTGCTGCTGATTCTCACCCTGCCCTGCTTCCATCCGATACAGAAACTTGATTTCATCTCGATAATAGGCAGTGAAACACATCTCCAAATCCTCCTCTGATTCTGTTTTACACAGCAACGTTCAATGGCAAGTGAAGCAAAGAGGATTTTTGAGATGAAAGTCAGTGAAAATCTGATCCGTGTGAATTTAACCATTATTTGTAACAGCCCAACACAGAAATTGGAATCTCGCTACATGAGATGCTGTACACAGCCTCAGAACAAAAAGATGATCCCTCCCTCAGAGCATGTACAGCTTGATAAGTTTTTCTCTTCCCTCCCTTACTAGAACTGGCTGGGAGAGAGTTAATTTTCTTCATAGCAGCACATATGGTTCTGTGTTTTGGATGTTGTGACTAAAAGTGTTGATAACACAGCAGTGTTTTGGCTATTGCTGAGCCGTCCTTGCACAGCATCCAGGTTTTCTCTTTTCCCCACTCTGCCCCCCCCCCCCAGTGAGTAGGTTGCGGGTGCACAAAAAATTGGGAGGTGATGCATGGTCAGCCATGACAGATTGACCAAAGGGATGTCCTGTACCACATGATGCCATGTTCAGCAATAAAAGTTTGAGTAAAAGGATGAGGAAGTGGGGGTATTCCTGGTTATGGCTTTTGCCTTCCCAAGCAGCTGCTATGCATGCTGAGGTCCTGCTTTCCGGGAAGTGGCTGGATACCTGCCTGCAGATGGAAAGTAGTGAATGAATTCCTTATTTTGCTTTGCTTGCACACACAGCTTTGCTTCGCCTGTTAAACTGTCTTCATCTTAACCCAGGAATTTTATTTTCTGATTCTATGCCCCATCCATCCCCTTGAGGGGCAGGAATGACTGAACAAGTAGGCAGTTGCTTTGTTGGTGGCCAGGGTCAACTCAGCACACCTCCTTAATTGTTCTGTACTCTGCGTGCTCAGGATTTGACTGCAGTAAAATTCATAGAACCATAGAATCTCTTGGGTTGGCAAAGACCTTGAAGATCGTTTAGTTCAACCATTAGCCTAGCATGGCCAACTCCACCACTAAACCATGTCCCTAAGTACCACATCTATATGTCTTTTAAATACTTCCAGAGATGGTGCCTCCAACGCTTCCCTGGGCAGCCTGCCAGCCAGTCGCTAACCATTTCCCCTTGGATTATGGGGGCTTCGTTCTCTTTGTCCCTGTCTTCCAGCTCAGGGACTGGGTACCCAGAGAACAACTGATTTTACTGTTAAAAGCTGAGGCAAAGAAGGCAATAAGTACCTCCGCCTTTTCCTCAGCCTTTGTCACTAAGTTCCCCCCCTCCTCGCATCCAATAAAGGATGAAAAGCGTCCTTAGCCCTCCTTTTGTTGTTGATGTATTTATAGAAATATTTTTTGTTTTCTAAAGGCAAGAGCCTGGGCTGCCCGGGTGAACTCTGCCGACACC